AGAGAGAGAGAGAGAGAGAGAGAGAGAGAGAGAGAGAGAGAGAGAGAGAGAGAGAGAGAGAAGCATCCGTCGAGTCAGTGTCTAGCGAGAAAGACAAAGACTTAGTAGCCAAAATAATGATTACTTATGCATAAAATTTGTGCTGCCAACCCTCTCCTCCTCCCCCCCCCCCTCCCCCCTGCATCAACGCTGCCAAGGGTTCGGCGGAGGAGCCCCGTGAACACGGCTGTGATGCCAGACATGCATGATGAGACAGTCCCTCAGTTCGTTCCCCGACTCAATAGCACATACCGCGTCTTCCTCCGGAGGGGGTGGACGAGGTGCATGCCGTGTTTGTTGACGCGGACGCCCTCGCCGACGTCGGATTTGCACATCACAACCGCCACTATCACTATCGTCGGATAGCAGTTCAGGATCCACCTGCACCCTGTGTTCCACCATCAGGTTGTGAAGTATGCAAATGGCCATGAACTCTTTGCGAAGGGTTTTCATATTCGCAATTTGTGTCCTGATGAAGTTCCTCCACACGACCTTCAATCTTTTGAAAGTGAGTTTAATGCACGACCGTGCGGAGGTGTGAAAATCATCGTACACCTGTTCAGCCGCATTCCTGTTGTTGCCCCCAACCGTAGTCATAATCCATGACAGCTGCGGGTAGCCAGCGTCGTCGAGCAAGTACCTGCCAATCGGACGGCCACCACGCAGCACCTCCCCGCCCGTGTCGAACACCCCACCACCGCGCTGCGCCTCACGATGCAAAGGAGACACTCCCGACTATCATGAACAGACCCCGGGCGACCCACGAAAACACTCTGAATTTGGCACTGGTGGTCGCAGACCACCTGCGCCACGACAGAGAATTGGCCAGTGCGATTATAGAAACACTCTTCCCTCTGACCTGCAGGCTTCTCGATGTACATATGGGTGCAGTCTATGGCTCCCACGCACCTCGGCAAACGTTTGTGTTCGAAAGCGTCCAGCGTATCTTGCAGCTTCAGCCCGGTCGGGAATTGGAGCAGATGCCCATACTCCCTGATCAGTGAGTGATCAGCGCATCGGCGACATCGACGTTGCTCCGCAACGAGCTTGCCAAACCAAGCCCCAAACCATGCGCTGACTGCGTGTAGTAACCTCTCGTCGCCCTCCTGATGAGAGCGCATGCAAACTTCTGCGCCGCCGGCACTGGCTGTCTCCAGGTCGTCTGACGCTGGATATGTGGCGCTATGCGAGCCAGAATATCATTGAACAGCGGCTGGGGAAGTCTGCAGAACCGCTGGAAGACCTTCTTGTGCCTGCCTCCCTCTCTTTGGAGGTCCTCCCACACACCCCCAGTGCGTTCCAACACCGACACGCGTCCTCAACCATCCACAAGACGGATGAAAATGCTGCCCAGCACGTCCGCCAGTGACATGCTGTGCATCACCGCACCCGTGAGATGCAACAGGGTGGAAGACAAGCCCGACAGACAAGTCGGCATTGCAGCCACTGCCTGCAGGACAGCCATCGCCGCCGCGTTCCTTCTGTTCATGCACTGCAGAAGGACGAAAACCATCAGGAACATGGTATTGTCCCAATCATCCATCGGCTCTGAAGCCGCACCTCGCTCCATGCAACGAGGCTTGCACACGCCACGCGCGTGGACGTACGAACACATCCGCTCAGCTGCGGTGATGGGGACGGGACGAAAGAGCGATGGACGAGGCAGACGACAGTGGTTATGGTGGCGAGAGCTTTCATTCACGCAGAATGTTGCAGCGGCTCGCATACATAACGAGCACCTCCAGAATGGGGAGGCCTGTGGCAACGGTCTGATTGACGGTACCGTCTGTGGAACGGTCCAGCGCCACGGGGACGGCGGGTTCCCTTCGGCCCTCTCACCAGCGGGAGGTCGCACTGCCTCTCGCACATGCCGCCCTGCGTCACCGACATGAGGCGGCACGGTCATTCCTTGGGTCCACCCACGCCTTCCGGACATTCGGCCACTTTCCTTTTCGGGATGCTGAACGGGCACCTTTCGTATTGCGGAGTATCACGTTCGCACTTCGCCGCAAAACGCAGTCCGCTATGGGGTGTCGGCAAAACAGTTTCCAACCTTTCCAAAATCGTTCGGCCGTTTTTTTATGGCCAGACGTCTTTTCCATTGTTTTTCCTGTGGGGTCCAACTCTAACACAAACAGCAAGGGAGCTGTCGGGTTCCCTTGTCCTCTTCTTCCTCTTCTTCTTCTTTTTTTATCCTGTCGAAAAAT